CTAAGGAAAGAAGAGCTTAGATTGGTACCAGATAAAATAATTTTGTTATCAACATTAATACATTGTGCTAATTTTCATCTTTGTAAGCGCATAAGACAGTGCAAATTATTTCTGTGACAGTCTTTTGAAGTGTGTAAGGCTCCATTTTATCCCATACATAGTCAAAATATTGGGGGGGGGGGAATGATACAATGGACCATCCCCCCTTGTCAAATATTGGGGGGAATATATCCCGCATCCCCCGGGATCTACGCCTATGGTTGGCGTCGCCATCTTAGCAGTGCTAAGTGCTGGTCTATCTAAAAGATGGAAGCTACTGGAGCCCAGCATACTGTCGCAGAGTACCTGTGTAACGTCGCTAACCGTTAAAAGAGGTGCAAACAAAATTCATAGTCGTACTAAGCATATTGTTTAGCGTTCATTTATACTGTGTATAATAAACAAATGATTTACAGTTTCTTGGTGTAGTTTTCCAACGGTTTAAAATATAGAATAATTATAACGGTGAGCGAACGGATGGTGTAACACTGACAGTTAACAATTTAAGAAGGAATTATTAATGGTGTATACAGTAAAGAACGATTTACGAACAAATCAAAGAACGGTGTACGAATTAAAAACGATTTAAACTCAACGGTTCAAACTGAAATACAAATATATAAAAGAAATTAGATCTATGAGATATCTGGGGCGGATGCAAGGATGGTGCAGAGGGTGCGATCGCACCCCTAAATTTTATTAAGAAAAATAATTGTATTATATTGTTGATATGAATTTTTTGTAAGAATTTTAAGGTATGAGAGTACAATTTCCAAGCACCAAGAGGTCCATATTCTACAAATGTTTGCACCTCATCCACAACCATGTTAGGGTTGTGGTAATGTGGACTCTCACGCGCCCGTGGAAGCAGATCATAGGGAAAGTGGGGACACCCCCTTACTTTTCGTGAGTCAAGAGGATTGCGCCTGAAAATTGTTGAAATAGGCTTTAACGAACGGGCACTCTACAGCCAAAGTACATCTTATAGCAAGATGCCGGTATCTCTGCCCACAAACATCTGAATTACTTATAATACGCGACTCGGGTGCGCGTGCCTTTATAATAATTTGAAAAGTATGAGAAAAAACGTGCAAACAAAAGATTGGTTTTCGGCACATGAAAGATAAAGTAAAGTAAATACATCAAAGACAGTAAAGTTTTATTTTCTATGGATAATGGTACTAATACATTACAGCAATTAATTAGATTGATGATGATGAATTTTACTATATAAGAGTGTCGGCAATTTAGAGGTACAATTTCCCCAAATTTTACCACCTCAGCCCCACAACTGGTGGGGCTGAGATGCGTTTAGACAGTTTTGAAGTAGGTAAAGTAAATACATCAAAGACAATATTTTTATGTTTATTTTCTATGGTACCGCACATCACACATACTAATTAGATCTCTATGGTTGCCAAAAATAACTGATGAATTAACTATTTAAAAGTGTCATTTCCGGCCATAATTATGCTGGTACTATTTCTTCAAATTGTATCACCTCAGCTGTGGTGGGGCTGAGATGCATTTCTACTCACAATTTCCAAGTAGGTAAAGTAAATATGCACATCAAAGATGTGTTTAAGGTTTATTTTTTATGGTACCGTACATCACACTAGATCTCTATGGTTGCCGAAAATAGCTGATAAATTTGTTGGCCTTCATTTTGACTACGGTATATACATTATAATGTTAATGTGATGATGATGAATCTTTACTATTTAAAAGTGTCATTTCCGGCCATCTACAGGTAGCCTAATATTTCCTCAAATGTTTTTATCTTAGACCCAACCATGGTGGGGATGAGGTGCGTTTCGACAGTTTTGAAGTAGGTAAAGTAAACACATCAAAGACAATGTGTTTAAGTTTTATTTTCTATGGAACCGTACTAGATCTCTATGGTTGTCGAAAATAACTGATAAAAGATCATCAGAATTTGTTCGCGCTTCACTTTGACTACAGTATATATATTATAACGGTAATGTGATGATGATTAATTAAAAGTGTCATTTCCGGCCATCTAGAGGTACTATTTTCTCAAATTTTTCTCACCTTAGCCCCAACCATTGTGGGCTGAGGTTAATTTGACTACATGGCTTTGGGATACGTCGAGTAAATTAAATACATCAAAGAAAGTGTTTCTTTAGTTTTATTTTGTATGGTACATCACTCATATTAATTAGAAAATTCCTGATTTAAAATCATGAGAAATTTTCTGCTGCTTTCATCTAGACTATATTGATGCTGTGATGATGAATTCTACTATATAAAAGTGTCATTTCAGGCCATCTAAAAGTACTAATTCCTCAAATTTTCTCCCCTCAGCCCCAACCATTGGAGGGCCTGAGGTGGCTTTGAAGTAGGTAAGGTAATTACATTAAATACAATGTTTTTTAAGTTTCATTTTCTATGGTACATCACGCATGTACTAATTAGATCTTTGTTACCGTGTTGTGACTCACAGCTTTGAAGTAGGTAAGGTAAATACATGAAATACAATGTTTTTAAGTTTTATTTTCTATGGTACATCACACATACTAATTAGATCTTTGTGGTTACCGAAAGTCGCTGATAAAAGATCATGAGAATTTGCGCTTCATTTTGACTATTATAATGGTGATGGGATGATGGTGAATTATACTATATAAAACCGCCAAATCCTGCATCCGCCGAAGATGGGATATGCTGTCTATGTAATAGTATTTAAATGATCAGGATTATTACACTAATTTAATCATTATGGTTTCCAAAGATAAATAAACTCTTAGCAATTAAAGATAACTATTAAATATAAACTCGCATCCGAGTCTCCTAAGTGTATTAGTATTAGTATCCAAAGGTATAATTATGTAGTTCTCTCATATGTCTACAGCTTGTCTTACTGTATTCAAATTGGGCTGTGTAGTATGTTAGATATAACTTACGTCCTGAGTAATAAGGAGCGGATCCAGGGATATCCAAAAAAAGAGGGGGGGAGGAAGGAGGCTGACAATGGGGCCGATAGAGGTAACAATAAACCCTAGGGAATCCGGAAGATGCCCACGCAAAATTTCTGTGTTCTAGACGCCGAAAACAACATCTGAGGCCTTTTGGACGATCATTATTTTTTTTCTTTCTTCATCTATTTCCTTTTTTTATTCTTTGACTTCCAAAAAGGAAGAGCTGGAGTCGGGCCGGTCCTCCTCTAAAGCCACCCCTAGTAATACTGACTAGATATACCAATTCGAAATAAGAAACCAAAACAATATGTGAATGAATAGTTGTTTACAAATATTCATTGGCTGTAGAAACCTAAATTCAGGGTGTTACAACTTGCGTGTATGCGGTTGTGTTAGTATGTGGCGACGCCGTCTCAGCATTGGGAGTGTGCATTTCACTATTCGTGTTCGCGGTTTGTTTTAGGCCATTTTTGGTCGCCACCTCACTTCATTACTTAAACGGCTTGTTTGTTTATATTATTTTTTTTTTTCAATTTGATGATCTGACTACGTTCAGCGCCTTTAGACGGTTTTATTGTGGACGGCGCTCTACAAATACCCTACCATTATCATCAAATATACAATGAAAATGTGCCAATTATCATTTTTGCCAGAGAAACTCATCCAACCACCAATGCATGTAATGCCAACCTTACTCACACCAATTTAAGTTAACTTTGGTTCCCGCCATCAGTGGCGTAGCTGTCTCTTATACACATCTAGATGTGTCCTCGGCGTGTTGGTGGTGACGCTAAAGAACAGTAAAACTGTTCCCTGATAGAACAAAACCATGTGGAAGCCATGTTTGTCCCTCTACCTTGCGTGATTTAGGTTGAGGGCGATAATTGTTTATGCATTTCATAGTACGGTAACGTTCCGTTTAACCTAACTGTAGCTATATACAGTAGTTTGAAAAGCCAAAATACATCAACATACAGGGTTAATTACCAGCCTATTAATATTCAAAATATATAACCTCATATTTTAATATCGACTTTGATATAATTATGGTTTTTGCTTAGAAAAGCTATGAGATCCAAGCAAGAAAAGTGTCCAAAGTGGCGGACAGAAATGATCAAATAAATAAGAAATAAATGAATAAATAAAAAAAAAACCTTAAAAAAAAAGTGGATTAGAAAAAGAAGGAAAAAAAATTATAACAAAAACACCGAGCTTTCCGCTGGTTATACAATTAAATATTTCACAAAAAAATAACAGATAAGTGGGTAAAAACGGACAAATTACAAAACGCAAAATTCTAATTCTGTAATGCTAATTATTGTGGTAATAAGATGGAAACACCCGCTACTCGCAACACAGTCTACTATGGAAAGGAATAATGCATGGACACACACTTCCGAAAGTTGAATAATGATGGGTGAGAGACATGAAGATAACGAATGAGTATGGTAGGCCTAATGATAATATCAAAAACGGTGGTGGTGGTGATGATGTTAATGATGAAATATTAAGATTCTTTAACGACAACAAAATGTCTTAGATAATCCAATCCGATAATCATTGAATTTGTAGGCGTAAACAAACGGATTGGCTGCCGTGTTTAAGAGCATCATCAATGCGAAAATGTATGTAAATAAGTAATGAATATAAATCTCGCAAATTGTATCAACCAGAAACAAGAAAGCCAGAGGAGCATTACAGACGATATAGATCAGTGTATTGATTAGCATGGTATCGATGAAATTTCGTTGAGCCTTGTTTACCTGATATGATTGTATTGGTGAATTGCTCATCTCAACATCCGGTGCGTTTTGGTCATTATCACCTGCAGTGGTAGTACGGTTTTGTGATGATTGATTTGTCAATTCTGCTCGAACTTTAAATTGTTTTGTCAATGTGACGTAAATACGATAGTAACAAAATATCATAACGCAAATGGGACCAAGCACATTTAGAAAATAAATGGTACCTGAATAAATTCTGAAGACTTCTATTTTTGTATAAGAGATACACAAATGTTTGGGATAAGGTTCAACTAAAAAGACAGAATGAAATGTTATTAGAAATGCCGCTATGAATGGAAGAGACAGCTGTGGTAACATGTTTCTCTTGTTGTTACGTCTTATCCTGTACTGAAACGGATGCACTACTGCAATGTATCTCTCCACAGAAATAAAAACAAGATTTAGCGACGAGGCAGATAAAAAGAAGTAGTACATTTTAGATGACTTGCAGTAAATGTCGTTTGATTTTTCAGCTGCAACTGGGTAAACAAAATAAAATATAAGAAAGAGACAATTTGCTAACAAATCAATCAAGGATTGTTGAAATACCAATAAATAGGGGAAGGATCTACGATGAATTTTGCAGTTGATAAAGACAATTACCACCGATAAATTTGCACAAGTACCAATGGTTGCTAGAAGAACATTTATGCACAACATCCAAATAGGAGATTCTATTTCAGTTTCCAATGTAGAGACGTTGTAGTGACTGGTCGACATTTTCTGTATCAAAAGTAGATTTTGATATAATGTTAATAGTAAAATATAACCGTATAATTAGTTGTATAATTACGGCTTAAAAAATACTATAAAGGCAAATTTTAAGTTATTTACTATATTATAAATATTTTGTAATTGGTGTAAGGACCCCAACGGAAATAAGGTTTCTTTTTTACCTTTCTTGGGTCATCCTTAGTATCTTGTCTTCCCTGTTTTTGTTTGCTTTGTATTTTTTGTATGTTATGATACTGAATAAAATCAATCAATCAATCAATCAATTTGTAAGATTATTAATTTTAAGTAAGGGCGTCATAGTTCAAAAGCCTTTGCATGTTTGTGGTGGTCCCCTTTTTCCCACCTTTAAACATTGTATGTTCTTATATTGACATTTCAATTTTGTGTGAAAATAAAGATTACTCAGACTCATAATAATATCAGTTTTAGGCTAACATTTGTATGTTTACCTTTCTATTCTCGGTAAGTTTACGCTTGGTATTCTCGCTGTGTGGACAATCTCGATTAGTTGCAGATGACTGAATAGAGCACTGTTGATGCTACAATGATAAAACATATAATCCTGAAATATTTATTATGCCAAAAATTGTTGTACTTTCTCTCCCTACTAACATTTATTTTTCGAAAGTTAACCTCCCCTTTACTTGCTCTTCTAAAAACACCAAATGGACAGATGAACATTATTCTGACCTTTACTCTACTCAGTATCAGTGGTAGAAATTTGCCGACCGGGGTTCCAAGGGTTCAACTAGAGTCCTACTACAATATTAGAGAACGACAATCAAAATAACGCTATTTGAAAAAGCAAATTGATATTCTTGGTCAGAAGACCTCTCGTGGCGTCGGACGACGGAGATCCAGGCCTGTCTGACGGTAGTGTAATGTAGTAGAATTTAACAAAATTAGTTATATAATTACTGGAACTTGTATATCGATACCGTACCTTACATTTAATAGGTCTACTACTGAACCTGTTATACCGTCTGTCTCAATTGACAGTAAGTGTCCGACAATCGATTATACCATCGGTCATTCTATAATAACATAAAATTACCCAAAAAAACATTCCCAAATTTATAAACGAAAGTATAAATTTAACTTTTGGCAGGTTAATCATTCAAAGTTAAGAGTATTTCAATAAACAATTTGATAAATCATAGGGAATTAATTTCTCTCTAACGTAATCAGAAGCCCCAAAACATGAGGTGACTTAATTACAGCACCCCCAATAGACAGAGGGTTAGAGAAACACCTAGTATTACTGACAGAAGGAACAATAGAAGTAATAGTAATTTTAGTATAATTAATTTGATTAATTATTAATACTATTATAATTAGTAGTATATATTTTAGTATTTGTATTCAACACGCTTATAATATCTATGTATGCTTTAATCGTTTATGTTCCCACCAGTAAGTGGCAAATTTTCAATTTTTTAGTGTAAGGTGTTGGGATTCTGATCGTGATATCAGGAGTTCGATACCAACGATCGTCGCATTACTTGTGTCTTTGGGCAAGGCAAATAACTTACATTTTCCCCTCTCCACTCAGGAGTATAAATGAAAGTTGCACAAAAACGTGCCGGTTTGCAAACTCAGTATGAAGTGACGACCAGAGAAATAATGATGCCAGCACCTTGTTTATTCTCCAGATTGTGACAGCCGTTTTATAAATTCTGATTCTATAAAAATAAATAAATACATAAATTAATGTGACGATGCGATTTGTATGTGTGACGTTGAGACGTGTTTTGCTTCATTGTACTTGTATTTGCATGTATGCAGACACAAACGCTCTGTATTTTCCTCGAATTTTCTTCTGCTCCGTTGCAACGCGTTGCAAGCCCCTGCGTACGTTATTTTGCTTTATTGTCCATAATATTTGATTAATATGCCGTTAGCTTGGCGTCCAGTAACAGTCTGCAGTTACAGAAGTTTTGGCGACCAGTAATAGTCTGTAATGTAATGTAGGGAGATTTACTATAGCGCATTACACCGAAGTCTCAATGCGCTAAAATAAAATAGGAAAAGAAAAAAAAGAAATTCCAACTAAAGATTCAATGCTAACCAACTAAGGAAAGGAACCGAAATGAAAGGACTATAGCAGAAGAACCGCACATCATCGCACCGTTCTCCGCGGCAACTTAAGACCATTGTCAAACAATGGTTGGCCGGAACATAATTCACAGGTGCCATAATGATGCACGGTATCTATTCTAACTAATGTAATAAAAAAAATAAAAAAGAAAAAGAAAAAAACTAATAACATATAGTATAAAGGTGTGATTTGTTTTGTAGTTGCAGAAGTTTTGTTGGAGCATGTATTATTTATTCTACATAACATCAGCCCCCGCAGGCTGGAATCGTTGGTTTACAAACACATATAAATGCTTTGTAAAAGATATAATAATATATTAACAAATATCACAATTAAATTATAAATACTCAGTGGTGGGTTATACAGCGTAAAAGAGTGGTATTTTAAATACCAAATGTACAGGTTTTGAATGAACCAGTTTAAAAGCATGTATAGTTTAATATCAGTCTTTGTAGCAATAAGTGTCCACCCTTGATAGGCCTAGTGTGATACTCATAAAAATGTTTTATGAATTTAAAAGTACATAAATGAAGGAAATTGTCATTGCTAAAATGATTATTGTTAGAAAATAGTTAAACAATACTGCCTGTACTTATCTTGTACTTTTACCGTAACGCAAAAAAAAAATTTTTGTCCACTAGGCCTATTAAATTTTTAAAGACTTTCTCACATTAACAATAAATTGTTTGCTCTCAACAACAGAATAGAGACACCAATATCACCAATATGACTTCAAATAAACAAAATATAACTTTTTAAACAAATTTTAACCACGACAGTGATAAGTTTTCTCCGACCTGTCTCCTCAATTTCGTTTTATGGTTTTTAAATTTGCTAGGCCTATTTAAAATATCACAAATTTATAGCAGACCACGATTATAAAAACGAATTCATTATGATAAAAAAAAAATATGATTTAAGTATTTGAAATTGTTCTATGTACACTAATAAGCAATTACTAGAGCGGTGCACAGTACACTATAAGGAAATTACAATACGGGAAAACTTAATATATGAAACGACATTCCTCCTACTACTAACTAGGCCGTAGCCTAGTTTAGTTTAAAAAAATCATCGCATGATTTTTACCTGTCTGCACTGACCAAAAATGTCAGTGACTGTATTCTCCCTCGAATGCTGAAATGTTTATTTATTTGACTAATGTCTATCAAAATAGCATTACAAACAAGTTCTTCTAACACAATACAAATATTTTTTCGTAGGCCTACATCTAATTTCGTATATACCTCCTTTTTGATGCTAATATGAATTCTTCGATATTAACTATACACAACATCACTGGAATGTCATAATCATCATGTCACTAACTAAAAGCTTCATTTACTGCAAATGTTGACCTTCACATGCGATGACCACACAGCAGCATTTTTAGATTTGAAGGTCAAACTTAAATCAATGGGACATTAAGTATTGATTACTGGATGTTAACAGTTACTAAATCATTTCCGAGCCACTACGGCTCAGAGGGCTGGAGCTTATCCCAAGTTTCTGTAATGTGAAGCGGATGAGAGTTGTACTTCCCTTGGACGGGACAATAGTCCATCGCAGGTTAGTCCCCAACAGTTTGCTGTTACCCATTGATACAGCTGGGTGGACTGAAGCAATGTAGCTGAAGTGCCTTGCTCAAGGGCACAAGCGAATCTGCACAGTAAAGAACATTGGAATTTTATAACCAATGTAACTAAAAACTAACTACGGTACTTCATTTCCATTAACTACAAATGCTGGTGTTTGACACATACAGTAACTACAGCAGCATTTTTAGATTTGAAGGTCAAACCTTATTAGTTCATTACTCCAGTCGTATATTTATATTTCATAAAATAATAAGTAAGTTTGGGAAAACAGGCAAATTTAAAAAATGCCAAATTGAATTTCTGTGTAATGCTAATAATTGTAGTAGGCCTAATAAGATGGAAAACAACCACTACTTGCAACGCAATTTACTATGTAGAAAGGAAGAATGTAAAGCAACCCACTAATAGTGACAATATTCAAGCTAATGCTGTTAAATACAGTAACGATAAAATAATGATTATGGTGATGATAATGACAAAGATGGTGAATGATGTCAATAATGAACTATAAAACAGATAAAGTAAAACAACAGAATGTCTTAAATAATCCATTCCGATAATCAACGAATTTGTAGACGTAAACAAATGGGTTGGTTGCCGTGTTGAAGAGCATCATGGATGCGAAAATGTATGGAAATATGTAATGAACATGAATCCCAAGGGTTTTGGCAACCAGATACCACAAGGCCACAGGAGCATACAGACGATATAGATCAGTGTATTGATTGACATAGTATCGATGAAATTCCGTTGAGCCTTGTTTATCTGATATAATGGTGGTGATTTGCTCATTTCAACATCTGGTGAGTTTTGGTCATTATCACCTGCAGTTGTACGGTTTGGTGGTGATACATTTGTTAATTTTGCTAGAATTTTAGATTGTTCAGCCAATATGACGTAAACGTCGTAATAAAAAACATAGCGCAAATAAGACATACCACACTTAAAAACTTAAAGATACTTGAAAATATTTGCAAGCTTTTGTATTCTTCAATAAAAATACATAAATACTTGGAATGAAGTATATGATATTTCGAGTAAGACAAAAGAAAATGTTATTAGACATGCAGCTATGAATAGAAGAGACAATTGTGGTAACATTTTTCTCTTGTTGTCACCTGTTATCCTATAATTTAAAAAATGCGCCACTGATTTGTTCTTGTTGTATGACTTTTATTCTTTGATCTTGTGTCCATTAAATAAACAAATATTAGGAATTATCAATCAAAATTCATTTGGGCATCGGACAATGGCGGTCCAAGCCGGTCCGATGGGAGTGGGGTGGCAATGGCTCCAAACCCCGCTGGTGCCACTACCAACAGGGGACAAAACATTGTTAAACAATTGGCTATTGGTGCCATTGAATGC